CATGGTGGTGAGAGGATCAGCCTGAGACTGGGAATCCACCCTTCTTCCCAAATTGTCTACATGGTACCCAAGCAGCCCCAACATGCTCAGCTCATGGGGGACATGGAGGTGCCATCAACTGGGAGGAGAGATGGTGCAGAGCTCCCAGGGTTGGGACTTATCTTCCCAGTCTTGGCGAGGAGCTTTTTCTATGCCTCCCTTTGTGCTTAGGAAAGGGGTTTTTGTCACTCACCTGCCTGTTGGGTGTCTGTGACCTGCCCTCGCTGGGTGACCGGGACTCGCGCCGCCGCTCCGGCGACTCGTCGTGCGCCTGGGGACTCCTCTCCTCCGAATTGCAGCGGGAGATGTCGGGGGACAGCAAGTGCTTGCGCTCTTTGGATCGGCCCCGCTCCCTGCCGCCCGAGCGATGCCCTTCAGACCGGTGGCCTGCAAGACATCCCCGTCAGCCCCTGCGGTCCCAGCAGCAGGGGACGTTTGGCTGGGAAGTTATTTTGGCATCGGTGTGGGATGGGGCCATCCACCCTTGCTCACCCGAGTCAGCGTTGAGGCGCCGGGCAGAGAGCTGGAGCGAGGAGTGGTAGCTGCGCCGGCGGGACTTGTAGGTGTTGTCGCTGCTGCGCTCCATGGAGAACTCATCCAGCCAGGAGCTGTTGGTGCGCTTGTCCCGGATGGTGGAAAACGACAGCCGCATCGAGCTGGTGTCCGTCCCCACCTGCAAGCAACCCCGGCCGGCCGGGGAGGGGGTTAGTGCCGTGTTGGGCTGGGGGGGGCGGCAGTCAAGCAATTCATTACCAGTTCACCCATTAATCACTGGCACGCCAGCCTCCTGGGCTCCCCGCCCAGGGTGGGGGATGGCCAGCCTGACCACAGCCCCCCCAGATAATCTCTGCAGAAATCAGGGGGTGGGAGGAAAGTGGGGTTTAGCTTTTGTGCTTGTGAGCTTCGCTGCCCCAGTCAACTGGGACTGTGCTCCAGAGGCAAAGCCAGGGACTGTGATTCAAGCCAGCCAAGGGAAGAGCAGCAGCATCCTGCAACATCCCATCTCAGATGTGGGGACCAGGCCATTGCACCCCCCCCAGGCTGTCTCAGCATCCCGCCCCAGGTGTGGGGACATGGAGGGTACCAGACCATTGCGCCCCCCAGCCTGCCTCAGAATCCCTCCCCACCTTGAAATCGGGATCAAGCAGAGCAAACAGACACATTAAAGAAAAAAACCACTGGAGAGAGGGGATTCTCCAGTGCCTCTTGCTCAGTGTTTATTTTCCTGGCTGCAGCGCCACTTTTCCAGACCCATCCCTGATCCTCCTTTATTGCCACATCCCCATCCCCTGCGCTTATTCCCTCTCCCCCACTCACACTGTTATTTTACCTTCCCTTTCCTTTTCTTTCTCTCTCCCATGCTTCTCTTTTCCACCTTCTCCTCTCCTTCTAGCTTGTGTTCTCACATGTTTTGTGGGTAACATCACCTCTTTCTGGATTTTCCTTCACATCCTAGCAGCTTTTTGCCTCTGCAGCCGTGGGCCATTCTCCCTGTCTCCTCTTCTCACACTGTACCCTTTCTGCTCCCATCCTCTCCTCCTGATCATCTTCCCTGCTGTCCAATAGTCAATAAAGCCCAAACAGCAAAGCCTCCCTTCCTCTTCATGCCCCAACAAAGTGCCAGGACACGCCACACCAGGACCTCTGTGAGAAAGCAGACCCAGAGACTTTCCAGCAAAACCAAACCCCATCAGAGCGTCTGTGTCTGGGTGGAGGCTGAGTACAGGACAGAACAACAGAGAAACTGGGCAGACAAACGAAGAGGTGACATGTGGCCTGGGCTCCCCTGGACAGATGGAGAAGCGTGAGTGTTGGGACAAGGGGAAAGGAAGGAAAAGGAATTTCATCACCTGACAGCTGGACTGGGACTCCTCAAGCCTCAGTCAGTGCCCAGGACTGGAGGAAAAGAGAGGAGACCCCGAAACTTTCCAGCATGGCCCTGCTCTACCACAGACCTCCCACATAAGCCAGGAGATTGATTCCCCTGGCTGCTGCTGGTGTCCCCCGTGTAGGGGAACAGCAGCTCTCCTACTTGTGCAGCACCCCAAAAACAGGGAGATGCTCACATATCAGGGTGCGGGAGAAGCCGTGGGACTGGCGGGACTCGCTCAGCACAGAGGGAAGCCCCAGTGTTACCTGGTAGGCTTTGCTTGGACCCGGCACCTGGAGGGGCTTTGCTTGGTTTTACCTGGGGATCCACAGTGAGACGAGGCATGGAAGAGGCCCTCCCAGAGACAGCATGGTCCTGAGTGTCCACGGGAAGGTAGCTGACACGGTTAGAGGGCTGCACTCTTTGAAACTCCCTAACCTCTGGCTCCTGGAAACAAACACACAGCCAAGCTCTTGGGATGGGGCTGGAGCAGGGCAGCACACTGCTTCTGCCCCATTTGCAGGGGACAGCCCTGCTCACTCAACCGGGGGCAGATGTTAAGTGGGACAAAAAGGGAGTCTAAGACCTATAATGCATCACATCACCACTGAAAAATAATCTCCCATTTGCAATCCATTGCAGGTGAGCACAGATGTGGTGCTGCAGGCTCACCTGATGGCCAGTTCACCTTGCACCTCTGGATCTGGGCATGCCCTGGCTGCCCAGGCTTTAGCTCCTTCTCCTTTTGCCAGAAGGGGACAAACATATGGGATTCTCTCTCTGACCCTGCCTTAAGGCTTTCTGGCCACATCTCCATGAAAAGAAAGCATGCCTGGCTTGCACCTTGTGGTGCAAGACTGTGGCACTTTGCTTAATTCCCAATTTAGGGCGATGTGGTGTAAGGAGATGGGCAAGGAGTGACCCTGGAGATCTGCTAGAAGGTGACTTTATGGAGGATGGGGAGTCTCAGCCTGCTGTATCCCCACTGGTAGGGTGGGTTGGTTGGGGTGGCCGGGGCAGGGGACACCAGTACACAGCTCACACAGAGTGCTACAGAGCCCTGGGACACGGACCAGGCTGGAGATGCACAGTGGCACAACACTGCATCTGACAGGCGTCGAGGTGGTGCGTGAGTGCACACACACAGACACGGAGAGAGATATATAGATATGTATATATATATATATACACACACAGACAGACAGACACTGCTGCTGCCGGCCGGCATGTGTGTGGGGCCGGGGGGGTGTGCTCCCATCGGAGACAGTTGGACAGCTCGATTTGGGATTAGAGACTGACCCAAAACGAACAGCACTGACAACAAAATGAACATGAATCCAAAAAACATCAGATACCATCACTCAGCAGGGGTTACCCACTGAAATGAGCACTCAGTGGACAAAAAAGAGCAGCCTGTGAAGAGAAGGATATTTTACTGCAGGACATCAGACCCCGGTCACAGCTCTCGCCCCAAAAGCACTTGATGCTGCCTGGCCCCACTGGCCAGGGCTGCTCCAGGCATGGCTGCATCCCCAGCGCCCGGACAGAGGG